TTGTTTTCGATTATTTTTTTTTTTTTATATATGTTCTGTAGTCGTCAAAGATTTTGTTTACTCGATTCGAGCATCGATACACGTACATTTTTGTATTTTTCTCATTTTAGCTGTGTAGAGCTTACTTTTTTTTTTGGTTTTTCATTTAAAATTTAATTAGAGTAAACCAACGTATGGGCGCATTTGTTTAGATCGATAGTAAATTTTGTGTGTGCGTTGTTCTCCCTCTCTTTCTGTCTCCTTTTTTTGACTTTTATTTCTCGTTCACGTCTCGATCATATAATAAGACGAGTTTTGGTTTTTTTTTTTTTAATTTTATTATTTTTTTTTTAATTTAATAGAGAAAACTCTGGTTCAGCTGGCTGCCAGCGCCAGAACGCCCTTTATTGTTTTCACTCCGTACTCATGACTTTTACTCGCCGATCGAACGCGTAGACGAAATTCCTCCAGTCCTTTAGCTAAAGAAAGTGCCGGCGTAAATATTTAATAGCAATAATTACATTTTATCCCTTTCCTAGACGTTTTCCATCGACTCCATCAAAAAACGCTCCACCGCCTCTATCACCTCGTACGCCAAAGCTAATAATTTGCGAAAAGGTATAACACATGTATCATTATCCTCGTCACCACGTGTATAAATTTATACACGTATACATTCACACAAACGTCGAGTCTCTCTTTTAATTCACACACACGCACGCGGTCACTTTTATACTCGCTCGCACCGGTTTTCCAAAAAAAGAAAGAGTTTGCAAAAAATAGGTTTCTCTTTTCTTCGTCAATTTTTAAAAAATCTTTTTGTTTTATTTTTTGCGCTTCACCGCGGATAGTCGTGCTTGTTTTTTTTTTCCATACTATTATTATTATTATCATCATCATCTTGTTTAGTTTAGTTTTCCCTTTTACTACGAATTTTCGACTCCCGCGACATTCTTTCGTTTACGATCCTATTGCTTCGCAATTTTTTTATTTATTTTTTACTCCGTTTCGAGAAAGGAAAAATCACCTTGGTGCGCACTGCTAGTTGTAATATTACTTTTCGAAGCCGTTGGTTTTAAATTCACGCAGCTGGAAGCAGCGACTCTGTTCCCTCCCTGTTGGGGGACTATCAACGTCTCGCAACAATTTTAACCATCTGTTACCCCGTTTCACTGCACAACAACCAAACCATTATCTATAGCATACGTAAACATATTGAGCAAATTTTTCCGTTAAAATCTTAAAAATTTTCACGCAACAAATGCTCTCCCTTGTAGAGTATCAACATCGTAAAAACGATTCTAGTGGTAATGACGAAAGTTGAGCTCGTAACTCGGACGTAAAAAATCTAATCGGCCCTCACGGTTGGCAACAGGACGAGAACCGAGTACCCCGAGTTGAAAAAAAAAAAAAAAAAAAAAAGGAGTTACTTTCCAGCTGCGCGCGCCAAAGTTGAGTCCGTCCCTATACACACGTGTCGCCGATCGGGCGATCCACCTGCACTTAACCAGCACCGAGTCACGTGAGCCGAGCGACAACAAGTAGAGCAGCCGCGAGCAGTGGTCGCAGCCCCGACAGATCCAACGATCTGCCGGCACCCCCGCACGCCTTGATCTCCAGCTCCTCCGGGTGGTAGTTGATGCACTTGCAGTAGCGGCGCTGGTAGAGGCGCTCGCGCCTAGCTGTGCAGGCGCCCGGCTCGGTTAGCGCCTCGTACGGCCTGATGCCGAGTTTCTTGGTGCCGCAGGGACACAGCGTGTCCACCACCAGCAGGATCAGGTTCGTGTGTTTGATCTTTTGGACGCTGAACGGCCTGGAATTAATTTTACGATTGTTCTCTCATTTGCGTGACTATGGCTCTACTTTTTTTTTTCTTTTTTTTTTTTTTTTTAATTCCATACTGTGAATCCAAGTGCGTTTGCAACGTGCATATGGCTTTTTAAAGACAACAAAATCCATGTTTTGTCAATTAGTTCTTCAGCTCTACCCAATTTAAATAGTACGTTGTTTCTAAAACGATTGGTACGAAAAAGCTTGAGAGTGTCAAATACAACACCCCCAAGGTGACCGGTTCAAAGCCATGCGAATCGGTGAACCGATTTTATGGTTTTTTTTTTTTTTCAAAACCTGTATAAATTTCCCGATCGCGCTTAGATTCACGGTGGGCAAACGGAGAGATCATTCCCAAACCTCTCGCATCCCGACTGATGGCAATTGGTGAGCTTCCCCTTGAGCGGGTTGCCCTGGCCGCTGGTGTTGAGCCTCTCGGGCTGGAGGATGTACAGGTCGGTTTTCTTCTCGCAGGTGCGGAGCTTGTGCGGCGGGATACCCGCCAGGGTCGAGTGGGTGCTGCTGGCCGTTGCCGCCGGATTCTCGACCGTCGGTGGATATTGCGGCTGATTGTCGGCCTCCACCGTCGCCTCGTCCGTCACCTCGGACGGAAAGTGGTCGCCGTCCGGGTAGACAATGTTCCCTGGAAGCGGGTGCACGCGTGTCATCGGGGATGTTATTGCGGGGACAGTTGTGGTGTATACTTATTCCTACCGTCGTCCGAGTCCGAGGGGTACGCCCATATCGGCTGGAGGAGGTCCGCGAGGTTGAAGTTGATGGCCCAAGTCCACAGGTAGTGGCCAAAAGCGGACGCGAGCTTAGCGACCGAGTGGGACGTGGAACGGGGCGCGGCCGACACGTGGGACGACTGGGGCGTGCACACGCCCTGGTAATCGACCACACTGACCTTCCGGAATATCTTGTCCTGCACGAGGGAATCCATAATCGTGCCGTCTATGTCGCCGAAGAATTTGCCGGTGTGCTCGTGCTTCTCGCTTATGATGATGAAGCCATTGTTGTCCAGGATGTAGCAGTCCAGGTCGTCCGAGGCGCACGTCTTTTTACAGGTGATGGGCTCTTGGCACTGTGGGCAGAGCGAAAGCAGTTGGGTTATACCCATTGTCCTCGAGGGAGAGATGAGGAGGAAAATATGTGTTTCTCACCGTTGACGTGACGTTGACAAAGTGCGAGGCCAGGGACGAGTGGTGGAATTGTATGCCGACCACCGCGGCCGGGGCCTTGTGACCCTTCACGTCCACGAATATCGCGTGGGTCGCCGTGACCAAAGGCCTTGGATTATCGGCTGGAATTAATCGTTGCAGTGAATATCAATTTTTGCTTTTTTTTCCATTGAAAGGATGGGTGAGCAGTTGAAAAAAAAAAATTGGTCAGATTCATAGTTGTAGTGCGTACCAGCGTCGAAAGGTACGCTGAAAACGAAGCTGTCGAATTCAACCGCGTGTTGGTCAACGGCCCTCTTGTACCAAGTGGAGTCCATGGCTCTTCTGTAGACCTCGGGGAAATCCCTAATTTTGACAAAGAAACGTGTACGTGCAGACATTTTTGGAACCACAATTTTTCTCAAGCATAAAATTAAAAATACTTACGTCTGCTCGTGGATACCATCGTTTTGGACGTGGTCCTTCCATCGGAGCAGTCCGCTTCTGGTGGCAACAAAGTGTCGGGCCATGCCGAACCTACCCTTTCCCTTCCTGGAAAACGCGCACCCACGATCTCATTAGTTTCGTCGCACCTCTGCGCCATGGACGTATCGCAAACGCTCAGCATCAACTTTCAGCGACAATAGCAACTCATTCACTCGTGAGTTTCATGATTATACTTAGGATGTTTTTGTTTTTTTTTATTCGTACAACGATGGTGTTAATCCTACGAAGCTTGTTGATAACGAGTGGTGTTAGTATGTGTTAGTAGATAATGTTATTATTTTGCACAAATGCAAAGGTTCGAGTTGTTCTGAAGCAACTTTTGCATTTTCATCAGGATACAATGAAATTTTTACCAAATCGTGTGGTAAAGTATAGAATACTGTACGACGATATGATGACAAATTTGGTATGGCGTACAATGAAATTAAAATGAATTAATTACGATTGTTAGTTAAAATATAATGTAATCGTCACACTCGACTCGTCCAGACACTTAACATACGTACACGTAATGATTGCAAAACAACTGATCTTATTGGATCAGCAGTTCCAATTTTCCCACGCATACGAGGAATCTTATAAAATACAATGATGATTTATCAATTAGTGAAGGTGAAGTGCAGGTGCATTGTGCGGTTGTTAAAAAAAAAAAAAAAGAACATCAATCATGACAAGATGTATGTGATGTATCGTGCGACATTTGAATCGTGCAAACTAGCAAATTACAAAACATATATTTTGTGCATTGGTGATTACCTGTGCAGTACAGCCATCAGTATGGCAATTGGGCTGGCGGTGAAGACACACAATATAATAATAAAACATACACAGTAAACAATAAACTCATTGTAAATTAAAAATTTGTGGTGAGTTGAAAAAAAACTGGTGCTTTTATGACAAATTATTGTGCAAGTGGTGCTCTTATAAATTTATATATCTATATTTATGTATAGATGTGCAGTGCTCTTATATAATGATAATAGTAGCTGTGCAAGTGCTCGTAAAAAAAAAGCTTAAATCATTAATAAACAGTGAAGTCGATCGATGTACTCTTCCCTGTTCTTTCAGCTTCTTCAATTATTTCATGCTCATGAAAAAATAATACGTAAAGTGTCTTCTTTACGTGGAGCTAATAACTAAATCTCATGAATAAAAAGCCTCATGAATTTCATGTGTAGTTAAAAATATAGCCAACTTTCAAAGTAAAATGTAGATGAGATCGACATTTATTTTAAGAAGCGAAAAATTGGCGATAAACTAAAATTTAATGCAAGTACATCAAATAAAAATGAAAAAACTTCTCCATTGAGCTTTGAATAGTTCGAAGTGGACCTAAACATTGAATAGTCTCATCAATGTTTCTTGGCACGTCTGAAATTCTACCTAGGCCTTTTAGAATGACATAAATTTCTGGAGGGAAGAGCAAAACGATCGACTCGGTGCTTTAAAGTGCGTTAATACTTGGTGCTCTGTGATCGATTGATTATTTGCTCTTTCGAGCGTGCCCTTGAAGATCTGTTTGTTTGTTTTTGTTTTCGCTCGCTGCGCTCTCGTGGTGCAAGTTTACTTACCTATCGTCTTTGCCCATATTTCTTTCGCTTCGCTTATCAAAATCTTGTGTCACGTACGCGTCCAACACTAACGATTGCAATAACAGCTTGTCGCCTGCGATTGAAAAAATGTGTTTGACGTCCAGAAACGAATGACGAATAAGTAGGCGACTCTGGGCCGTACTCACAATAGTAAGAATCCTTGTCGGGCTTGTTCGCGGGCTTTTGGTGCGAGCTTTTGGGTCTCTGCGATCGCCACTTCCAGCCCGGATTGTGAGTTTGGGTCAGGAAGTACAGGACCCGCTCTTCCGGACTTTCGAACCATTTGTCGTTTTCAAAGTAGTGCTCGCAATACGTCCAGTCTGGGTGCACTTTCCAAGTGTCACCTTTGAAGTAGTGCGTAACTGGAAAACCATTTTTTCGAGCATGCAAATTAGCTTGTTAATTCTAAATTAATACTGGGTTTACCCAATATTGACTTGTACTACTGAAAACGCGAACAATTGCGCAAGTAAATATTTTAGATGGATAAGGCCTCCCGCTTTAGCTTGATATTTTTTGGTTGATGTTAGCCTTACCAAATATTGACTTGTATTACTGAAAACGCGTGTAACTGCGTAAGCAAATGTTTTAGATCGATAGGGCTTCCCGATTTAGCTTGATGTCAGCCTTATCAAACATTGATTTGTACTAATGAAAACGCGTGTAACTGCTTAAGCAAATATTTTAAATCAATTAGATCTTCTAAATTACCACTTGCACTACATAAATCGCTCGCAGCTGTATAAGGGGTCGTTATAAGACTTGTCTTATGTTAGTTCGACAGAGTCAAACACTGACTCTTACTACTGATAATACGTGCATCTGCTTAAAGGAGTGTTTTAGGATTTATCTTGGATTAATATTATCTTCTAAATGACTTTACTACTGAAAATTCATATACTATATAATTTATAACATTACTGTCTAAAATTTTCGCGACATTCTTACACATTTGAGTTCTAAGCTGTAAAAGAATGGATAGATTGGTCAAAAAAAGTAAAAATTCTCCAAGCGAGCCAATCTCACGTATCTCTGGTATTAAAACACAAAAAAGCGCGTGTGTGTGTGTGTGTATAAACAAGCCGTAAAAGACAGTACGATGGCGGTAGCAACGAGACAAGAAAGCGCGAAAGGAGGAAGGAAAAAATCGAGTATTGAAAATCAAGAAGCCGAGAAGGAGAGATGCCGGCGCATTCTCAATTTTTCATAGTATATTACGAATTCACGGCATTCCTCTGTGTGCCCGCGCTCCTATTTTTCACGGGCCAAGGGTCCCTATGTGCACGCCCGTAAATCTCGACTCCCCGCGCTTTTACGTGCATATATATGGTCATGCATGCGCGCGAGCGCGAGATATTTTTCATTTAGAAAGTGCAAGATGCGCTTGGAAGGAGCAAGAAAAAAAACGAGGCCGGAATATCTTTGTTATTTAATATTCGCGCGCGCGGCGCCGCTCATTCGTCCCTTGCTACGTTACGGCTCGGTCCATTGCTCTTTTTCTCATTTTCGGTTGATTTTAGCACGCTTTGTTGCAAGTAATAAAGCTCACCATTATCATGAGCGTGCCGAATCTCCTGCTCGGCGTGCAGCTCGTACATGCCGTAGCCTTCGGGTAACGCCAGCCCCAGTGAGAACGGCGTGTCCGGGATTGGCTCGTAAAAGTAATTGTGCCGCCTGATCGATACCCTCTTCTGCAACACAGCGAGTATGAATTGATACGGTTCACTTATACAAAAATAAAAAGTATCGGTGCATCGTTGTTGGCTCTTACCATGTCGTCGTAGTGGATCTTCACGGAGAAATAGGTCTCACCCTCCTTCTGCTCTATCATCTCGTGTCTGAGCTGTAACCGAGATTTTTACGTGGATCATTATTACCATTGGTATTTTGTTGTTTGCCCAAGTCATGTAAAAAAAAATCCTTACGTCGAGGAGAGAGCTGTTTAACGAGTGAGATGGCCCGTCGTTTTCCAAAAGTTCGACCTCCGACAGGTCGACGCTCAGGTATTTTCGTTTCAGCGTTTCTTCGTACTGAAATGGTTAGATAATTCTTTTGAATAGCCTAAAACTCTCGTTTTCGAAAATGATTGTCTCCGTGGAAAAATAAAACTCACCTCGACGTTTCCCGGCTAGAGGAGCAGTAAAAAAATTGATGGATCAGTAAAGCGTTTGTTTGTCAAAATATTTTCAAAAAATAAACCTCAAGACTAAAACCATCTTACCAAAGGTCTGAGGTCGGGATGATACAGGACACGCCCATTGTTGTCGATCAGAAACGAGTAGCCATTGACACCCAGCTGCGAAAAATGTCAAATGTGGCAAATTAAATGGCTATTCATCCGCATTTAAACCCTAACGGACCAACTAACCTTGTACGGCGGCACGAGTTTTTGAATCTGCTCGATGGGCACATCGGTCCCCACGACTCCGAGTAAGTTAGCCGTTCTTTCCTGCCGCGCGAGCAAAGAAAAAGTCCCAAGGTCAATTAAATTTTCGAAAACCAAAACGTCAATCTTGTGACGTGAGGTGTACTTTACCGTGTGGTTTCTCCGATCCAATATGGGCGCCGTAACCGAGGTCATGAGCTGACCTTGACCCTCGAGGCCGTATCTGCCGCTCTGGAAGTTTATGAAGACAATTAGCGCTCCTCGCCGACCTCCTAATCTGATTAAACTCCCTCTCTAAGCTAAACTCGGGCCTCTGCTCTCCCGTGCACGTGTTTGCCTATCCATGCAATCCCCTTCCCCTGCCCACTGCGTGCGTTTGACCTCGATTCGAGGGGTAGCGCATCGGGATCGAAGCTCTTTTTACTTTGAAAGTCTGCCACCCCTTTGGGTCGCTCGAGCCGGAGACGGAAATATTCTATTGACTTTTAACCTTTGATGGACTCGCGCGGAGAGAAAAGGGCGCTTTTGTGCCTTTGTTTTCTGCCCTTGATGGGTGATCCGAGTTTCGTTTTTACCAGATTGCTCTCGATATCAAAGTCAACACCCTCGTGCGCTGCGTGGTTTTTTTTTAATTTTTGATTCTCCAAAGGACCCTTTTTTTACCTCCATCCTTTTTACCACTTTGACGAATTCAAACATTTTAATCCCCCAAATTAAATCCCGTGCGATCGAAAAATGAAAATTAAATGAAACTCGAGGCCAAAAATGGTTACTTGCAGCCTCGGTTTGCTCGGGCTCGAGAACGTGCTTAAAACGTAAGTAGCGAAATTGGTGTATGAAAACTTTGAAAGAAGATCAATTTAAAGTTTTCCACAAGTGAATTTCTCGGGGGAGAGCCCAAGCAGAAAGGAGAGAAGAGTAGTGCCGAAAAGTGTCCAGAAATTGATCACACTCGTTTCAATTTTCTCGTATTAGTCTCGTTATACTTGAGCGAGAAGAACTTTGGCTTTCTTGCTCTCTTTCTAACGGCAGGTACTCAAAGTACGCACAAACGCGTTAATGTTTAAGCATCGAATTAGAAGGTTTTATCGCATCGAGGGGCGTATTTATCAAGTCTACAAGATAGCTATGGACTGCACTTACTTTGCCACCAACGTAGACCGGCGTAAAGTGTATCGGGTGGTCGCGCTGGTACAGCACCATCGGCCGCGCCATCACCTTGATGTATTCAAAAACTTTGCTCTTTATTTCGTCCAGCTTGGTTATCCTCGCGAAGTATCCTGTAACGACCATCAATTACTAGCGGCTTACCATCCGCCCGTACCATAATATCCGTCACAGTTGAACCCTCGTTAAAAATTTCACCCAACGTATATGTAATGTACCCTCTTTTAATGGAAACAAAACAAAAAAAATAGGGAAACAAACCTTTGTTATTGCAGGACATGCTGTTGAGGTCCTCGCTGTTGTCGCCACCCACTAAATACGTGAAGATCCTCACGGGCATGTGGGGCGAGTTGTAGCGCTTGATGAGTTCAATCGGGGCGCCCTCGGTACGCGATGTGATCAGCATTATCGCCTGGTTGCACTGGCTGCCTTGCGACGATCTATTGTACTTGTGCAGAATCTCAAAGGCCGTGCTCAGAGCCGCCGAGATGTTGGACGGCGATTCGGCTTTTAGGCTGTTCATTGCATTCTACGCAGAAGGAGGTTTTTTTTATTTTTATTTTGAGCGATGAAAATCATGTGTCAACGATGTGCCTGACCATACTTGGGTGTTTCTACTTTCTGGATTTCTTTTCGTGTAATGCTCGTTTTTTAATTTCAAACGAGAATAGCACATTACAACCATAGATTACCGAAGAAATTCATCAAAAAAACAGCCGATGAAATGATTTTATTTTAATTTTTTTATGTGTCAACGTGGTGTCTGACTACACTCAGATGTTTCTACTTTCTGGATTTTTTTTTCTTGTACTGCTCGTTTTTTAATTTTAAACGAGGATAGCACATTGCAACCATAGATTACCGAAGAAATTCATCAAAAAATAGTCGGTGAAATGATTTTATTAAAATTTTTTTTATTCCCTAGCGCCACATTGATATTTGAAAGAAAAAAAAAAACCTTGAGCTCCTTGATGTTCTCGGGCGACGCGGTGAGGAGGCTGTCCTTGAAACAAGCGACGATCTCCTCGGCGCCCTCGGCATACTTGTACACGTTGACGTAGTCGTTGGGCCCGAGGCTGTCAAGTATCGCGTTGGCCGTGCCGACGACGAGCTCGCGGGTCTTGCTCGACGAAAGGCTGGCCCCGTCAACGAGGACGGCCAGGTCCTTGGGCGAATCGGCCGCACCGACAAACCAGTCGGACAGCCGGAAGTCGTCGACGCTGCGCACGCGCCTGGCGGGCCCGGGCTGCACGGGGGACGTGTCCACCGGTGGCCATGACATAGCTGCGTAAGTGCGTAAGCGTCGTTGTAGGGGGTACACGTGCACATATATATATATATATATATATAAAGAGAGTGTAGAGGACAGCAGCAGTCACGGGGCCACGACGCTACGATCGCTTTTCGGATATATAGGTCAGAGCGTGCGAGGAGGACGAGGGCGGAGGGGGACAAGGACAAAGTGTCGCGCTCGCGGTAACTATAAAGTTTTTCGAGGACTGCAGTCACTGGTACTGATGGCTCTGGGGAGATGCATTGCGCGTCGTTGCTTTCGATTTATTCGATGGGCTCCAACGAACGCGGCTATCGTTATGAAGTTTTGAATGGTAATTCGAGCTCTCGTCTCCGCGATATTCCGCAGCTACGTGAAATATTTTTATTCGCGTAAAATATTTGAAACTAGCACGAAAAGAAGGATAAAAGAAAAAGAAAAATCAATGTACAAACAGGTCGCCTCGCAATTAGCCATTGAAAGAGATCCCACGTGCCCACGTAGAGGGAAACAAAAAAAAAATAAAATAAACGAGAGCTTGAATGGGGAGGCCCTTTCACGCCGAGGGGTTTCAGTTCTTTTATTTCGAGAAAGTGAAAATACTTGCAGTCCGTGCAGCTCGTGTATAGGCGGTATACAGCACAGAGCAAATTCCCAGAGGAGTCGAAAAGGAAGAGGGACACGCAGCAACAACAGAGGGTGGTGGTGCTGGCAGGAGGAGAGTAATAAGAATAGACGATGGACAAAAGAAGAGGAAGAGAGAGAGAGAGAGAGGCGAGCTCACCGGGAAAGCGGCGCAAGAAGCCGGAAGTCGATCCAAAGTACTGCCAGGAGAGAGACGGGTCGCTCTCGTAATTGTTGACGAAGAGGGGGTCGAGGTATTCGCTCCATTGAAGCCCAGACGCCACGTCGGCTTCTTTTGTCGGGTCGGTTGGACCGAAAAAGAGAAACAACAACGGCACCGATGCGTTAATATAATGAGATCTTTTTTCCTTTATTTTTTTTTTTTTTTTTTGTTTCTGTTGCTTACATTGGCACGGAAGGGTACCGATGGCTCTTTTTTCTTTTTTTAAACTTACAAAACTTTTTTAAAGTAATCTACAACCATTGGTTTGCCAGACAANTCCCTCGAATGTACTTTTTTTTTTTTTTTTTTTTTGTTTCTGTTTTGCGAAGCGAAAACCGCTCGCTCGGGGTTTTTTGGTAAAACAGCCAAGGCACCACAGGCTATTACGAGTGATTCGTCATCTCGGTGCCTCGGCGTGTCATCTTTGTCGAATTGCTTGTTCATTAAATATAGAGGAGCAAGGGTTACCAGTATCCTTGAGGCCGGAAGGCATGAGTACGGCCGATAGGCTGAGGTTGACTGCGATGTGGTCAAAGTGCCGATTGCCAGAGATGTTGCGCGAGTCAGGGCCCGGCTTGCCGTCCTCGTTCACCTGGTTGATGCGGTGGCTGGCCAGGTACTTAGGCGGGCCACTGCTGCCCTCCCGTGAAACGGATACTGCCGCCTGCTCGGCGTTCTCCATCAGTTTCTGAAAGCCAATGCGAGCTGATTTCTTTCGATCGTGTCCGACCGTGAGGGGTCTGTTACTACTATTAGCGTAACGATCGTGTCTGACCTAACCGGTGTGTTACTACTGTGAAAATTTCAGTACTTTAACTAGGGTGTTTTTTACAATAGCTGTATGCTGCTGCGAATTTTTTTTGTGCTTTTGAAGAGTATGTCTGACCATTGTGGTACATTACTACTGAGGAACTTGTACGCTTATGGTTTATAGAGTGTGTCTGATCATATTGGTATGTTACTACTGAGAATATTTTTTTGTTGTTGCATCAGAAGAGTATGGCTGACCTCAGCGTCACTCTACTACTGGGAAACTTTATACGCTTTTTGTTTGGAAAGTATGGCTCCCCACAGTGGTGTGTGTTACTACTGTGAGTCGTTTGGATAACGTAATGGAAGAGTGGATTGATGAATCGACATCGTAAAATAGGAATACATGTTGGTGTACGTGAGAAATTCCACAAAAAAGTCTAACTAGCATTCATCTAAAATGAAAAAAAAAAGAAAATATTTTTAAAATACATCTTGATCATAATTTCCTAGATACACGTAGATAAATAAAATGTTAGGAAAGTATGCTTACAATGATTTTTCCAACCATAGGATTAATTTTTTGTGGATTCGCTCATATGCATGTGCTCGTTTTGTAGTTTATGTGGCTGGTAATAAATTTTCATGTATACGCGAGGGAATAGCAGAGTGTGCAGTTTATTTCATTACCATGACCGCGTTGATTTTGAAGTCCATCATGTTCTTCACTTCCGCCGCCATTTCTCGCACGAGCACTAGGCCGTCCTTTTTATTGACCGTAGCGAGGGACTCGTGGTATTTCTGTTGGAATCGTAATTTCATTATTGAGTGATCTATACCGTTGGAACTACTATGTACGCTTATGAGTAAACAATGAAACAATAATAGCTAGTGGTAGTTAGTAAGCCGATCTCTGCGAGGAAATAATACATCGTAGCTTTTAGAAATTTGGTTGTAGAATCAGTAGCGTAATCAGTTTGTACGTCAGATTTGTTGCCGTGATAAATTAAAGTAGCCTTGAATATTTAAGAGCTCAATCACTTGCGTGAATATCTTGAATTTCAAGTAGTCGAGGTAAGAGTTTGGTCAGCCCTCGAATTTAGTGACATGTATCTACCGTTTTACATCTAATGTTTTCATTAAAAATTGATGACATCAGTATTGTGCTGTTATCAATAAATCCATAGTATGCCCTCATTGATACAAATAACAATAATTTATAAAAAAAAGGAGAAATCAGTGTGTCTCACCGCTCGTATCTCGCTCATTTTAGTGATCTGTCGGCCAAACTCCCACAGATCGATGCCGAATTTCAAGGCCCAGTTTCTGACTCTGTAAAGAACAAACGTAACAGGTAAAAAAAAAAAAAAACTACTACGCAGTCATTCTCAAAATAAATAAAATAAAACAGAAAACTACAATCCCAACAAAGTTTTCAGTCCCATCGCACACTCGTGCAGCGGAACAAAGACCCCGAGTTTTCAAAATAATATAAAAATTAAGCCCCACCGCGAGGGACAGATAGAGGAACGACCCAGATAGAACTTGCCAGTTTGTCCTGAATCGCGGCTGAATAGAGCGCATGTACCTATACGCCGAGGCGTGTTTAAACGACGCGCTCTCCCTCCCCAACCCCCGCTCATTCACTTTGTGCGTCTGTGTTTGCACACGCGACCTATTTGCATGTGTTCGGCGAGTACAGTGACAGAAAGGAGGACAGCGGCTCTCATGTTGGCAATAACGCGCGTACCTCGACCCCCTTACGCGGCAATCGTAATTTCACATTATCTTCGATATTGTTGTTGTTATCCTCTGTCTCTTTGGCGCCAAGTGTGTTTACAATAATGTCTGAGTTTGCGAATGACGTGCGTTTCAACGCTTCCGATACTTTTTTGTTTCATGTATTGTTTATACCTACCTCCACCGCAACGCACAAAGGTAACATCCTACCCGCAGTTTGTGCAATTTTTTTCTTTACCTACTTCTCGCCTCTGTCGTGTATTTGTCACCAGCTTTGTGCACTCGTTGCGGAACACATATAACGACCATCTAAAATCCCCTTAACTCGTAATAAGATCACCGGCCGGGTTGACGCTTGAGTTTGCTTAAAGCGCGACGTCTGACAAGATTAAATTGTATTACCTATAGCGCATTACGTCTTTATCAAATGAAAAAAAAAAAAAAAAAAAAAAGTCGACGATCGATACCTTCCCGTCCAAATTGAATAACTAGAGATTCGATATTATTTCGAGGCTTGATTTTTTTAATAATGATACAGACATAGAAATATTTAAAAAATCCACACGCTCGTTGCAATATGGTATAAACGGAAAATAAAGTGGGAAGCGAGGGGTTGTTATCCAACGTTGAGCCATGAGAAACAACAAGAGAAGGCAGACCTTATTGTTTTACTTATTTACTCTCAAATATTCGCCAGGAGTGCGAGTTGTGAGTTTGAATTAAATTTAAAATAAGAGCTTCTCGCTCGACGAGTAAGGGAGTAATTACGGAAACAAAAAAAAAAAAAAAAGAAACGGTGCATCCGTGACATGGGAATACGGAGTATAAGGACTCGGTCGTACCCCAAGGAATGGCAGCACATCTGTCAGGGAGAACATCCCAATATCCCGGCTCGAATTTCCATTTCCGAAAACTAGTAGCGCGCCTCACCCCCACAGAAATAAAAAAAAAAAAAAAAAAAAGAAACATCGTGGAACCGCAAGTGCCCGGAAAAACTTTTCCGACTCGCAAATAATATCCGCCGCACACGGCCAACTTCATCCGTCGGCGTCGCGTTTAAAGAAAATATTACGCTCCCGAGCGCCCGTCCTCGTCCCGCTGTCGTCTGGGGACTTTGCACCCACCCACCCCCGCACACGCACATCCAGGCGCTTGTTAAAACTCCCATGGCCCCTTACCCCGTTCCTTTCTCGTCCGCCCGGAAACTTTAAAGTTGACAAAGTTTCGCGGGGCGGCGGCATAAATTGCGTATCTGTTGGCTGGTGCGGGGCGAGTTTTTGGGATGCGGGAACAGAAGAAGAAAGGACCCGGCCGGTGAGATATTGGGGGGGGGGGGTGGAGGCGCACAGTCGGCGGGACTTTAAATTGCGGAATGAATTTTCCCCGCTGGCGCGGCGCATGGAGAATTGAGTTGTCGACCCGCTCGCGTATTGAAAAATGTGTAGACTTTTCAAGGAAATAACTGGATATTTTTTTAATGCACGACTTTGTAAGAGCCTCGAAGGGGTCGTTCACTCCCCGCGCGATTTGAAGGAGACTCGAGAGGCTGGATTGAAATAATTATTCGACTGTGGTGCACGGGGTGATTTTTCAATTCGCGCAAGCAAAAGGTGTATCCTTCGTCCTGCAAACCAAGTTTTTTCAGCTCTATCGTTTTATTTTTCAAGTGCTTCCGTGTACTATATTGGAGGAAAAAAAAAGCAGCTTGATTCTCCCCCCTCGATCGATCCATCGGCTGTGCTCGCCCATTCGATATCTCATCCACCAGAACAAAAGAAGCGAAAGCTATCGTTCAAAAATCAGCAAGTAACAATCGAGCATAGTCCGCGGCAATCGGCCGCGCAAAATTCCCTTCTGGTTTTCAGGAAGGGCTCCAGACCGAGCGATCGGACCTGGAGGAGGGAAGGATAAGCGCGCCAGAGCGATAAAGTGGCGCGAAAAAAAAAAAAAGACGCAGGAGGATAGATAGCCTTATTTTCGGGCTGTTGAAACTTTGTTAAGGGCCACTTTTGAGAAAACACCCGCACTTTAGTGTACGTAGTACCCTGCGTGCGCAGCTCGTCCTTTTTTCGCTCCACCGCCTTGGTGCGTGCGTTCGAAAATTTCCACAGCCGAGCCATTCTGCCCAGGATATCTTCTTCCGCGTTACACACACGTACACACGCCCTTTCTTTCCAAGCTGCCGTTTGAGCATTTCCAGCGAGATAAAATCGCCTTCGGACGTTAAAATCCCCCGGGAGAGAGCTTCTTTTCGTTCCTCTTTCATTTTTTCTTTCGCTGGTCGTCCTTTGTAGGCAGGGAAACTTTTTCGGTAGACAGAACGCGCTTCTTTTTGCCGATTCTCGAAGAAATAGAATACATTGTTTTATCAGCACGGCTAATGAGGACCGAAAATCTACAACAATGAAGCGTTACTGTCTTTTTCAACAAAAATCCGATTATCCACGCGTTTTTCATGCGCAAAGTGCATTAAAGTATCTCATTTCCATCGGGAATTTTCGCGAAAATCGCGCGCACCGACCACAGCGCACGTACAACGTGTTTGCGGGCAATCCTGGTATGCACGCTCAATGAAAATCAATCCATCACTCGCGTGTACCGAAATTATAGGATATCCTTGACGGTCCAGTAGCGGATGCGTGCTGTACACGCCGAGCGTGCGATTAAAATCGAGCTGAATATAAATTTAATAACGCGTGCTTCTCCCTCGAATGTACTTTTTTTTTTTTTTTTTTTTTTTTTCAATTTAGCAACGGAAATTCCGATGTGTTTAACGTTTCGAATTGCGTACCCATGGTTTCAATCATTTGGGTGTCAACGCAAAATTTACCATTTGTCCGTGAGAGACGACGTACACGAAGAACCGCAATTGGCTTCGATTATCGTCCCGGTATTGCAGCTTAAATAATCAATTAGCCAATAATGGTGGGCGGAGGCAGGCTATTTCGGCTCGCGCTAATATGATCAATTTTAGCGGTGGTCGCACGTATACAGCACAGGCCATCCTGGGGTGGATGTGGGGCCAGAGAAGGCGGGGGGCCAAAGATTCGGACCACTAAGCCAAATGGGGTATCAGCAGGGAGGACTCGAGAATTTTCGGGATTAAAGTTGTACGTTATAATCCACAACAGCCTCCAAATTTTCCGAGTCTTGGGGCACGCGTGGCGACCAAAATTTCGGGCAGTAATGACGTATCGCGCGTCGACTGGAGAGGAAGCTCCTCGTGTGGGGCGCCCTGGAATTTTCATCCCCCGTCTGGAGGAGCCATAAATACGCGTCGTCGATACATTCTCTTCCAAAGTATCGTTGCAAAACACCTTGACGCCCCCTTTCTACACGCGGTGGAAACAACATTATTCGCAAGCTGCCGACTTGGGGGGATTTTTTTTCTTTTTCTCGGTCGTTTCCGGGTTCGAGGTTGGGTGTGAGGTTTTTCGCCGTGCCTTCCGGCTTTATACTTTTAATGACGAATTTTACGAGCGGTTGAGGCAGCGCGCGCTGTTTTCGGGTACAAGTACTTTGTTTTTACGGTGAAATCGGAGATTGAATTTCTCCCATTTATGTACCCCCAACCATACGCGTGCGTATATCATCGATTCAGGCCAACGACACGTGCCTGATTGTTTCGTCAAAATAATTTAACACGATAAGTCTCGCTACAATTTCCATCGTACAATGCGAGAGGCTACGTTACACCGGCTCTTCTGGTTCGCGAGCTGCGGTGGCCGACACCCAGTTGCTAAATGTCGACACGAAAACGCCGCCCCACCTTTCATCCTGGTTCATCCCCCTCGAGGTTCACCCTGGCAGTGAGTGAATCATTTCACATGATTGCAAATATATTTCGATTGTTCGAAGCTGCTCGTTGTCAACGATAATTCGCACACGTGGGATTATACGGTCCGTGACATTGAAACAAAAACCGATACGAGAGGAAAAAAAACCCCCATGGTTCCAACTTTGCCGACGCGACGCAATTCCCCCTCGTAGCGCGTTACGCGTGGGGGGAGGGTGCGTAGGACAAAGTTGATCGAATCGTAACAGCCGCGTTGCCCGCGCTTTAATTTTCACTCGCACCGCTGTCGTTTTAATGAGCGAGGGCTCGCGTGGCTTTTAATTTACGGCTCTCATTGTCTCCGGACGTAAATAAAATATGCGCGCCTCTGCTGTCCTTTCCTGCATGAAAATGTCACACGCGATTCATCCCCCGTTTGCCGCCCATCGTGATTATTGCCACAAATACCCGTTTGTCGTTCGATGACCGTGAGCAAATATTCACGAGCGCGTGTCCATCCTCCAAAATGATAACAATGACAACGATAAGAGAGGGAAAGAAAGAAAAACATCTCTTCGACTTACTCGTTGTGCGGTATGTCCTCCTCCTGCTGGATGCTGAAGCCAACGCAGAGCAGCAGCAGTAGAGGGAGCAGCCCGAGGGCCGCCCTCGTCGTCGCCGTCCTCCTCCCCATCTCCAGCCTTTGCCGGCACCTTTGCGACAGTCAAACCCGAGCAATAGCGGAGATTCCTTTTTTTCTTTTTTTTTTTTTTTCTATCGACTCATCCAGTCCTTCCGAAAAATCTCTTGTGAACAAATTTTTCACTACAACCCACGAGAAACGGGGACACTCTCGCGCCAAAGTCGATCCGTTTCACGGGAGGTGGTGGTCCCCCTTGCGTCGTCGTTGTTGTTCTTTTCTCCCTATTCCGTCATACATTGCCTTTTTCACCCACGAGTGTGTACACACCACTTGCACACGCACGCACACACACACACACACACAACAAACACTTGGTTGTACGGCGGTAGTAAACGATGTATGTGTATATATACACACAGGTGCGTATATTACATTACATTATACAAGGGCGCGCACTGTGGGAGAAGGTGGGATCTTATCTCTCGGCGTGTATGGCACGTAGTGTGCATACAAGGAGGGGGGGGTGGGGTGTGTACAACTACAACTGTATACCAGCACCACTACGAAGGCCGATCGATTCTTAAAACGGAGGCAGGGGCCGAGCTCCGTGTACCGCGCGCGCACTTCTTTGCTCCTTGTTCGTACGTGTGCCTATCCCGAGTGGCCGCACACACGGGATGAATACGTCAATGCTGGCGCGTGACCCAACCACTCGCCCTATCCCGTGGTGAAATACTACTGCTGGTCGTAGCGTTGGTAGCAGCATCAGTAGTACAAGTCCGCGTATGGTCCGGCACACCGGTAGGTACGATCCAGGCGTCGAGTCGTGTATCCCTTACTCCTCGGCTACGTGATAGCCGTCCGTGCGTTCCCCCAAACACGGGACGGAGGGTGCATTTGTCGTAGACTCGACGCTCGTGCGCGTCATCCCGGCTCGCGAAGCGCGTTCCCACCACTACGCTCTGTTATTGCATTACGTAAGCGCGAGAGGCACGGCACTCGATGTTTCGGCCGTTATTGCGTGTGTCCCGCCGTTTAGGGGGGGGGGTATAACTGTCTCGGGTGTCACGCACACCTCCTTTGCCAAAGGAAAAACCACCGATCGTCCTCCTCTGCTTCTTTCTGCGTTTTGAAGGATACTAGAGACGCGAGTCCAAGGGGGCGCCCGTCGCTGGCTTCGGTAGAGCCAGTCGACGCCAGGCTGGGGGGTGCACTGGCGCGAGCGAGCGCGACTCTCCGCGCGCGGTGTCTTGGCCAAACGGCCCTACAAAGTCGGGGGGTGCGCGCGCGCCCTCACCTACACACGTGTACGTATACACCATGCAGGGTGTGGGTTATACGTGGTATATATATATACAGGTAAGGCTGCACCTACACGGGCGTTTCACCGCGCTCTTCCGAGGAGGGGGTGGGGGTGGTGGTAGATATATACGTATGGTTTGGTGGGTGGGACGCTACGACGACGGCGCCGGTAGGTATATGTATATAAGCCACTGCCGCCTGCCCCCGGGGGGATGGTGAGGAGGGAGGGCGCAGGATGGATGTACGCGGGTATATGGGTGCAGTGCCGACGGGGAAGGTATGCCAGGCGACGGAGGATAACGCGAGAGGATCTTCCGTGGGAAGGGGAGGAGGGAAGAAGCGAGAGAAACAGATTGGAGGGAGTTTATTGTATAAGCAAGAGGAGGAGGGGGAGGATGGTGTAGAAAACGAGGCACGACAACGACGGCGCAGGGAACGGCAGCGAATGTTTTTTCCTTTCCGCTCGGCTAGAGCCGCTGCCGCTGCTACTCTGTGTACATACACACGCACTCCCTTTGACCCTTTGTCGAAAATCCTCCCTTTTTTTATTTATTTTATTTTCACCTTCATTTTCTTCTCGTGTACTTATGTTATGTTTTGGTTTTCTTCCTCGTTACGGACGGTTTGCGGGTAAGGAGAGATAAGGATGAGGGACGAGTCTCGAGGAGACGGAAACAATAATAATCAAAAAGAAGAAGAAGAAGATGAGGCGTGCATCCACGCGAGATACGTGTGTTTTCGGCGCCTGCGAGAAAAGCGAGATGGGGGGTGCCGATTGGGCTATATATAGGTAAGCCCAGGCTACTAACGGGGACGGAAGAAAAACATCCTTCTCCTCCTTCCCGAGGGAGCCGGATACGGGAGGTAAGGAGCCAGCAAGAAAGACGACGACGGCGGCGTTGACGACAGCCCAAGAGAGGGAGGGACTGGGTGAATATGAAGATGGGAGGAGGAGGAGGTGGGGGAGGGAGGGTAATGGGAAATCAGAGCCGGATTCGGTGCACTGCCGCCGCGATATGCTCTTAACAGAATCTCAGTAGAACAGTGCGGCCCGAGGGCAGACAGGCAGATGGGCAGCCCCAAGCTATAGCTGCATTCCTTTGTATGATCCCGTGAAATTGTACGGCAAGACGATTCCTCTCTCTCTCTCTCTCTCTCTCTCTGTATATTTTTCTTCCCCCTCCACGGGTATATTGTATTCATATGGAACGGCGGAGAGAAAATATTATAGATGCAAGAAAAAAAGAACATTAGACCCGAGTTTTCAGGCGTATATACAAGGGAAGGGTGGGAGGAAAGGTATATAGCTATAATAACAAGAAGAACAATAGCACGAATGCGTGTGATTTCAGTACGTAGGCACCTGCCCACGTCTTCTCTACTCGACAAGACTGTATCAACGCAATTTGGGCGAGTACATAGGCGTATGCTTTGTGGCTCCCTTGCACCTTTGCGCGACGACTACGTTGTAAAAACAAGAGAGCAAAGCAACAGACTCCCGAAAGAGAGAGAGAGAGAGAAGGGGGGGGGGGTACAAAAGCGCCTGGATATGCGCGTGATTTTGTATTACAGGTAGGTACAGGTGTATAGGTGGGCACCACATGTAAGTGTAACGCATGCAGGGAGTAGCAAGAGAGGAGGACATGATGGGCGAGGCGGGGGGTGCGAATACCAGCGACGGCGACGGCGTAACACCGCGCAAGCCCGGTATCATTGATTCGCTGGTTCTCTCTCTCCCTCCGCGCGACCGTAGGTATATACATATATACAGGGTAGATGGATGGGCGAGGGAGGTACATGATGCCTCCCCGGCACTGCTGTACCGCGCGCACACGCTGGTAATCGAAGCTTGCACGTGTACGATGGGGTGCGCGGGTGTGTAGGGGGTGTAAGTATATAGAGCGCTCGGTAGGTGATGGGTACATATCGGCGAGGGCTCGTTTGCGTCGAGGCGACGAGAGACGGCAAAGAGAGATGGAGGACTCGGACTTAACCGGCAGAGATGGACGTGAGGATATTATTGTCTTTCTCTCTTTGGGCTCTATCCCCCCTGTCTCTCTTGCGAGGCTGCCTCTGGGGGATGTAGATTTATATTTCAATTGGAGTACGATGATTTGCGGACCGACAATGACATTTGTCACTTTGCGGGCTCACAGATTTTTTACAAATAATCTACGAGGAGGTGCTTTTTTTTTGTTTCACACCCTCCTTCTATCGAGTAACCGTACGTGATTGAACGATATCCAATTGATGTTTTTTTTTTTTTTTTTTTCTTTTTCTTTTCGATGATGATGGAAAAAAATAATCATGAACCTGAAGGTTTGCAATCACCAGGTGCCAACTAGGTGGGTATCGTGCGTAACGCTTTAACGAGCGTCAGCTTACACACCTCGTCATGCGAAATGCGAGAGGCGGCAGGTCTGGAAACTTTTTTTTTTTTTTTTTTTTTTTTTTACTACCATCCGTTCTATCTCGTAAAAAAAAAAGGATAACCATGGGAGCCTCTGACCCTCTCGAGCGTGTCTCTGAACTCGTGAAAAAAAAAATGAAAAAAATAGTGAAGACAATCACAAATACCCCATAATCAAATTTCCTACGGAGAAAGAGAGGAAGATTGAAAAAAAGAAGCAAACCAGCCCGTCGATCGCGTGTCTCGACGAGCGAAGGGTAAATTTTATTACCCGGAGAAACTTATCCGTCTTCTTAGTCCGGCTACACGCACCCAACACAGCGTCTCGGACGAATCGATGGAATTTTAATTTAATTTGCGTAATCCACGGTAAACGTCTCAAGACTACGGACGACGTCTTTCTCCCCCACCCCTTCCCCCCTGTAGCTCTCAGTTATACCCCCGCACCCCGAGAAAATCAATCGAACGCCTTATCTCTTTAATTAAAACACCCCCCCCCCCAACCCCCTCGAGTTCGTCAAATTATGCGGCTTTGATAACCCATCTTCAAAACTCTCTTTCTCGTTGGTCCCCCCCCCCACACGTATAGGTAGGAGGATCGCTTTTTAGTAGAGGAGGGTTGGGGGGAGGGGACTACTTCTTTAATTTCCGTCCAGATGCGGGTAAATGAGTAATTGCTCGGTTATAAATTGTCGCGGGCGCAGCGCTTATTTTTCAAGATAACCGATTGGACCGAATTAATCAGACCCACCGCTCCCCCTCTCTTTTTGCCGTACAGCAGTTTGCGTACGCATAATGTTTGCCGTCCCCCGATTTTCGAAAAGTCGTTTCGCGCGGGAGGTGGGCCCTCGCAAATATGCTCACACGCGGGCGGATCGATCTGGTCGTTTGCATGTACACGCGCAGTTTTACGTGTATTATATAGGTGCACAGGAAACGACGACGGCTCATCTACACCGTGTATATACACACGTGCACCCCCTATTGGTGTACGTACGATTTTCATCGGTGATGCACTTTTTCCTCTTCTCTCCTACTCGCAGCTTATCCCGAGCCTCCCAGGACACTTTTCCCTCTCCCATTCGTGGGCGCACGTACGTTTGTATTATGTGCACGCTAAGCGCGCCGTGGATTACGTATATACGATAAGCGATGGAAAGGTGCGCGTATACGGGTACCTAATATAATGGGCGTGTCACTTTGGAATTGATGTATTTTTACGATAGTTCGGTACTCGCCTAATATACATAGGGGGGATGGTAGAGCGTCGGACTGGTCTCTCGCAAGTACAAAGAGAGAGAGAGAGAAAGAGAGTCTAGCTCTGAGGGTCAAACACAAAGTGAATTTAACGATGACTCAAGCACCAGGATCGTCAGATGTTTTCGCATGCAAGGACAAAACATATTTTTTCCCCCTAATTTAAATCGCGCGTCCCTCGTTACAATCACGTGTGATAATTTTAACGCGCAGAAAGAGTGTACGTGGCATCTGAGAAAAGGGTGGTAGAAGAAGGGAGTTTCAGCCAAGCCGAAACGAGGTTGTACGGAGCGACAGGAGGCGGGAGCAAAAAAAAAAAAAAAAAAAAAAAAAAAGAAGAGAACTCGCGCGTGTACGCTGGACAAGTGAAACGCGATTCTCGGGCCGGTGGGTACGTATATATACCCCGAAAAGGAGGAAAATACCTTCGAGGGTGTAGGTCCAACGCGGCGATTTCGATAACGCTAGCTCTATAATGTGCGCTTCGGGGCGATTCTGTTTTTTTTTTTTTCCATCCGCCTTTCGGCTACTCTGTCACGCTTGGCTTCCCGCGTGCAAGTATACGTACACCCACAAGGGCACGAAAGCAGTGGGACGCCGAATTGAAATTTCCGAAGCGCACATTTGGCTTCTCCCTCCCGCCCCCCATTTTTTTTTCCTTCTTTCCTCCTTTCAGGTGTACGTACGCACGGCATCGGCAGTGGCGCGGAAATATGCGCCAAGTTGATTTATCATTTGCTTTTTCCGGCTTCTCTCCCCCCCCCCCTCGTCTGTCACGCTCGCCGTTTGGGGTGTTACACTGGTTTAACGGTGGAAATACTCCAGAGTACCACTCGTCTCTGCAGTTGTACCGATTTATACATACGTTAATACACGGGCGTCTTAGAAAAATAAAAATATATCGCAATAATCTCAGGCGCATGTTTGCTAATAAATAAATAAAAAAAGGGTCGAATTCTGAAGAGCATATCTCAACATCGTACACCTGCACAGGCACACCCTATAAACAAACAAACAAGGGAATCCCAACAGAGCGAAACATATAATACCCGTGAAGCGCACACGACGCGTAATACTAAATCAGCGAGACGCCGATATACCCACGCACCCGCTCGCTGTTCTACAGATACCCGGTGCACGTTATACTGTACGTTTACGTGGGTATAATATGTATACATGCACATACCGCGGAGAGCACCCGCCGAGCCATTA